CTTTTGCGAGATACCGCAATACTTTTGCGAGATCTCGCAATACTTTTGCGAGATACCGCAATACTTTTGCGAGATCTCGCAATACTTTTGCGAGATACCGCAATACTTTTGCGAGATCCCGCAACACTTTTGCGAGATCTTGCAAAAAAATTTACTTTTGCTAGATCTCGCAATACTTTTGCGAGATCCCGCAATACTTTTGCGTGATCCCGAAATACTTTTGCGAGATCCCACAATACTTTTGCGAGATCCCGCAATACTTTTGCGAGATACCGCAATACTTTTGCGAGATCTCGCAAAAAAATTTTATTTTGCTAGATCTCGCAATACTTTTGCGAGATCCCGCAATACTTTTGCGTGATCCCGAAATACTTTTGCGAGATCCCGCAATACTTTTGAGAGATACCGCAATAGTTTTGCGAGATCTCGCAAAAGTTTATTTTTTGCGAGATATCGCAAAAGTTTTGCAGGATCTCGCAAAACTTTATTTTTTCCCTCCATGTCCCTTTAGGGGCTCCGTAGAAAACAGCCTCTGTGTGACCTGAAGTTAACTGTTACGGTTTTCTTTAACAGGTTGGCATACTGACAGAAGAGATTCACAGCCAAACCCTGCTTGGCCAATGCAACCGCTAACAAAGAACTCATGTAAGCGCTGGGCTCAAACCTGATTTTAATTGAAGCATACATTCATGCATATAATTTTGTTTTCAAAAAGACTAAATAAAAACATGAATATACTAATAAAATTACTAAGGATTTCCTAGTACATCCAGTTCAAATATGCAATGACACCTTTTTCCTTTTCTGCCCCCAGGCTTGTGATCGGGGAATTTTCCTCCACGAGTTACAAGCAAAAGAAGAGTACATGGTGTTACCGTCAAGGAGACAGGAATGTTTCTCTCTGACAGCAGCTGGGACTTAACCGTAATTTATTACTGAATGTTATAATCAGTGTTGCTTTTGACAGCCATCTTAGATTTAGTCTTAGTTTCCGTCTTCCAGATGAAAATTACTATTAGTTTTAGTCCCGTTTTAGTCATTACTATATGTAAAAAGGTTTTAGTCTAGTTCTAGTCAGTTTTACATTGCACTTAATAAAAAAGTTAATCTTTACAATTTCGAATAACAACCAGATTCTTTCCCAGACTGACAGCTCTATCCTAGATGCTACAATAGGTGAGTATAGAATGCTGCCGTGCAGATCATCATTGCTGTTGGGCAGAAAACTTTGATTTATAGATTTTAAATAAACTTTTTTATGAATTAATGCATTACTTTATAAAAAAGTGTCTCACAACATTTGTGAAAAAAGCAGATCTACTGCGACACATCATATTGGTTAATATAGAGGAGAGACAAGCTAACAAAACGTCTAATAAATTAATGGTTTTAGACATCCAATCTACGTTTCAATCCCAAAGCAAACACTTCCTGGTCTACTATGAATTATGCATTATACACAGATCAATAAAATCTTCATTGATCCATTGGTCCATCAGGGTCTTTATCCAAAAATGATCAGTAAGCAATGAAATATTTACTTTGGATATAATTTCGGGATTCCTTTTGGGTAGAAATTAAAGAATGTTTTTGCATCGCCTCTTGAGAGGTGGAAGAAAAGAAATGGCGCTGAACAGTGGTGAATATTGGAAGTGCACTTTAAGATATTCCCAGTCTGTGAATAGTTCTGTCTGAAATTAATGAAAATAGTTGTTTTAATAGTTATTGAGTCGGATATGTGGCGGGTAATGTTTGATTTATTGAAAGGTCTTCATCTGTCCCTATTTATTGACGTTTAAGCTCAGATTCCCCGCACTCTGCAGTGTGGGGACTATAAATCTGATATCTGAGACGACCGTACTGCTGTTGAAGCTCCTCAGATATCTTATTAGCACCCAGAACAGCAGTGAGAAGTTCAGTATCCATTCTTTGCTTGCTTTGATTGTCAACAGCCACACTTAGCGGAGACTTGAGATGTGCTTGGGAGAGGAGGCAGTCCAGGCCCCAACCTGGAAATAAGAAACAAAAGAAAAACACAGTCTCAATCACACCTTCCCACCCTAGTGCCCCCACTGACACCAAACAGACTCTGTAAAGATGAGCCAAAAAAATGCTGACGCACATTCACATATAACACTCACATCCAATAATCCCAGGACCAAAGAACCGGCGGCACCGGTGGTCGGTCCCGGGATTATCGGACGACCCAATAAGTGAACCTAAAATCCGGATGGCGGGAGAGTAGCGGTGACACCATCACACTAACCCATCTCTTTCCTGATTTTGGGCCCACATGCCCCGCACAGGCCACCCCCCCTCCGGAAGACAGGCAGTGCCAGGGACCCCCCCCATTCGACAACCCAGAACCCTCACATGCCAATGTTTAAATGCGAGAGGGGGTGAGGGGAGCCGACCGTGGTGAGGCCTGCGAAATAAGACCTCCCTGGGGTGCCCTTGACCCCCACCGCCCCAAACAATGCCCTACATAGATGTGTGTTGTGAAAATATTGTAGATGGATGTGTCTAAAATGCAAAATACAGGGTTCGTACACCATTTCCAAAGTCAAAATCAAGCACTTTCAAGATCCATGTCAAAACTTTTTCCAGCACCTTACACCAACAACAGTTGGCTGGAGGACAACTTCCATCATTACATAGACCCAGACCTTAGCAGACAGGGTGCTTACGTCGTAGCTTAGTTTTCAGGACTCAAAGTAGAGGTGGGAACTGTCGTTCTGCAGCCCTCTCAGAGCAAAGCTGACAGCACTAACAAAGGCGGCCATGGTTCAAGTTCAGACAAGTCAGCAAATTTAATCTTCTGCTTGGCGCAAACTGACAGCAGGAGGGATTATTATTTCCACTGCCGATGCTGTCATGTCCGAGAGTGTCTCCAGGCAAGCTCTGTCTACAGTAAAAAAAGCCCCCAAAAAGCCCCCTGCTGTGACTGTCAACAAGTGGGGTATAGATCACGAGGAAGAAGCAAGGCCAACATGACTGACATCACTGAGGGGATGACAGCTGTTTCTGCCTTGGACTAATCGATGGAAACTGGCCTGGGATTAGCCTGCGTCTCTCTTATTTATTTATTCACTTATTTATTCATTTTAAAGTCTGCTGGTGCAGTGGCAGCGCACCTATCAGAGAGACAGGCCAGGCCACTTAGGCCAGTAGCATGTGAGGAGGGAAAGACGATTGGTTTATTTCAATTAACACCCACGTGTTAGACGTGTGTCTGGAGCCGGCTGCTGTGATGTGTGTAGCTAGCGAGCTAGCGAGTAAGTTATAAAAAAAAACATGCACACACAAAATGTTGGTACAAATATTCTATTAGAAATATTTGTACCAAAATTTAGTGCTTGTGTTTAAAGTTAGAACACAGTATGATGTGAATGGAAGAATGCTGTTAGCATATGTTTGCTATTCAAAGGTTTGATGGTGATGACATCACTCCTGCTGGTGTTTCTGGAGAAGCGGAGCATTTGGGAGAAGGTGCGGAACCATTTCTATAGTGGAGCAACAACATGAACAAAGTGACATGAACACCACCCAACATTAACATTAGACAGAAATGTCTCTCAGCTGGAATACTGGCTTTCTGGGCTCTACAGCATCATTCTATGAAATGATTGTGTTGTTGGATTTTTCTCTCTGTTGCTGACTTGCAGTTACGTTTCCCAGCTCAAACATGAAAGTGTGTGTAATCCAACCTTGGATTTACTGTAGGTTGGGGTTCATTACTATTCCCCAGTAAGATGATTTGCCATTTAGAAATGATATGAGATGATATGATAATGTATATCTCTAACCATGGCACTACTTATTGTTTAAAATCTTTATTATATCTGTTTTATCACAATTACAGCAGTAAAGTTACTGTTTAATACAACCTTGGAAATTAATGCAGGTCCTTTTAGATCAGTGTTTCCCAACCTTTTTGGACTTGTGTTCCCCTTTGTACCATGAGGTCCCCTCTCAGTCAAAACTATTGATGATTGTCCAAAAGTGGAATGTACAATATTTGAAATAAAGACTATTTATTTAATCGTTTAATTTGAGCAATTCATTTTTATAAATTTATGCTTTCTATCTCAAAAATAAAATAAAATAAAATAAAATATTTTGCCTGGATGTTAATAAGGAATGTAAATAAATACAAAATAGGAAAAATTAGAGCTCCGCTGAGTAACTCCCTTATAATCACATTTAAACTTGATGAATTGGGAAAAAAATTATAGTCTGAATGACTTAATTAGTTTTACTTTGATGAGCTCTGATAGATCAGTGAGAAAAACAGCTTTTCCAGGCTGTTCTCTACATCCAGGATGCTCTTCTGCTTGGTTGGGATGTGTGTCCAAGCTGAAGGTGAACTCAAACATAAGTTTATTTTAGAATTGTTTTATTTTGTATTTTCTAGACATAAGTTGCATAATGCAAATGCGATGCATCAGCTTCAGTAGCAGACAGCTCTGTCCATCTTTATCACAGACTTTTAACCTCGCCCATGAGCACTGCCGGAAACTCTCAACCTCATTTCAGGCGAGGTGATGTCCATCTCGAACCCACCTAAAATGATCCATGAAACATGATAACAATAAAAATACAGTTCAGAAAAAATAATCTGAAAAAGAAAAATCTGAAATTTTTCAACATTTTGTTTCTAGATTGCAGTTTTTCCCCCCATTTTCAAACCATGTTTTTGTTTGCAACAATAATGGATCAAAATACAAAATCTAGAAAAAAAACTATTTTACTTTGCTTACAAGTTTATTTCTGCTTAATTTGAGCGGGTAAATGGGATGATTAGCTGATGGACTGATTAGTTTTACTCTTTAGTTAAGGTAATTAGATAATCTGCACTTGGAACAAGACGATACAAATGTTTGTTCTTATTTTAAATGTAAATTGTCTTGTTCCATAAGTGATTCACTTACCTCCTTAATTAAAGAAAAAATGCACATATTTAAATGCACATTATATTTTTACATTGTGACCAACCCATTTGTAGATCTTGTAGAAAGAGAATGAGAATCATGGGAAATGTAGTGAGAGACTTTAAAATGAACTATAAAGGTAATGACATCTGTCAGGATGGGGCTTTGTTCCCGGACCTCCTCCCTGTCAGACTACCAATGAGAGCACAGAGCATGCGCCGTCCTTTTCAGCAGAGAAGGAGGGGGGAGGGTAAGAAAGACACAGCGTAGGAGAAGGAGGGTGCTGTGTGTCTCTCCTGCATCAGCGCCAGCATCACTGCCTTCGTCACCGGAAAACAACAAGAAACAGATCACAGATAGCAGAAGCTATAGAGAATAAACACCATTAGCTGCAGCAGAGTTTCATCTAAATCCATCAGCTACTGATTCTTAGATGATGTCACAGCATCTTCACCTTTATTAGCCAGAAGCATCAATCTCCCCAGAGAGACGGGGAATTCTTCTAGGCATGCCTTGAGAAGAGAAGACGGCGGCCATCGCTCCATCCCATCACCATGGGAAATCAGGAGGCAAAGCAAAAGCGAGCTGCACCTGCATCTGGTAATGGAAGCTACCCTTCACTGGATGACGGATGGAGGGAGGGAGGGGGGGACTTGACCAAAAAGGGGGGCAAGAAACACTATGGCAAGCATGGAGGTAAAGGAGCAAACAGCAGTGGAGGAGGAGGGACACATGGCACAGGAGCAGGCAAAAAAAGAAACAAATCCGACTCCAAGTCCTCCGTTTTTTCCCTGCGAAAGAGAAAGACCAACCATAAAGGGAAGGGGGACACGTGCTCATCGATTCCTGATCTGGCATCACAGCACGATGAGCTGGACAGCAGCAAAACACCTGACCTGTCCGCAGACGAGCTGGGACACTCTGATTCTGAGACGGCGTTCCCCGAAAAGAAAAAGAAACCAGAACGGGAAATCAGGAAGAGAGAAGGAGGAGAAGAGGAGAAGTTGGAGGTGCAGAGGAAAGCCTCAACAGCAGCAACCTCACCCACAGAGGAAGGAGGGCAGAAGGGAGGCAGCTCAGGATCAGACACTGATATTTACAGCTTCCACTCAGCGGCTGACCATGAGGATTTACTCGCAGACATCCAGCTGGCCATCAGGCTGCAGCATCAGCAACATCTGGATGGTGGAAACGCCATCGCTGAGGCGGTTTCAGGAGGCAGGGACCTGACCCTTAAAGCACCGGAGGACATGACCAAGAAGAGGAATGGGATCGAGAGGTTAACTCCTCAGGAGGTTCTTGAGACGACTCCAGAGTTAGAGGTGGCCTCGGATGCTCTGTCCTTCCTAGAGAGTGAAAGTCCTCCGTCTGCCAAAGCCAAATCCCCGCCTCCACTGCTGCCGAGCAGAGAGACACACCTCTGCCCTCCCTCAGAGGTGAAGGGACAGGGGGCCGTCCAGGAAAAGGTGGGGCCTTTGGAGTTAAGCATGGGAGGAGAGGGGGAGAGAGAAACCAGCACAAAAGACCAGCATGAGAACGTCTCCATGGCTACTGGGGGTGTAGCAGCCAAACCAGTCGCCATGGAAACCAGTGCTAATGGCTCCCCTGATGTCTCAATTGACAGTGAAGGGAAAAGTCCCAGAAAGCTGGAGGAAGCAGACCTGAGCCCCGCTCCGGACAGCAGCAGTAAAAGTCCTGAAGCAGCAGAGGGACTGAGCTCAGGGGACGTGTTCGACGCTCACTTAGGCTCAGCTACGAGTGCCGAGTCCCTGGACGAATGTCCCATAGTGGGCTCCAAAACAAACCAACCCGTCGCTTCCTGTCCCAGTGCCTCTCCGCCCGACCAGCACTGCGGCAGGGGCAACATCTGCTTCGTCACCCTGCCCCCCCAGGGGAGCCCAAAGCTGGCAAAGCAGCTCCTAAAGTCTACCCACCCCTCTAACCTCTACAGCCACGCCGTTAAATCCTACCCCACCGTCTTTCCATCCTACATTAAGACCACCACGCGGCAGCTCAGCACGCCTGGACACTCCCCCGCTCTGTCTCCCTCCCATAGCCCCCTGTCACCACGCAGAGCCCACCTCCACAGCCGCAGGTACACACTAATGCTGCACGCTTGTCTCGTTTAACAGTTTTAGAAGCATCAAGTAGTTAGGGCGCTTTTTTTTCCATATCTGTACTTCAGTTGAAATCTTTTAGTAGACTTTTTGCTTTGACTCCTTATATTAAAACACAAATATCTGAATTTATACTGGTTACTTTCTCCAAACTGGATCGTTACTTCTTTGCTTATTGGTAATTATGTAATGGGGAGTGAATATTGTTCCATTATTGTTATGGACAAAGAAGACATTTTGAAATGGGAAAAAGTTGCAATCCAAAAACAAACCTGTTAAATCAAAAATTCTCTTTTGAAAAACATTTTAAAATTCTTTTTCAAGTTTTGTTTCATATTTAAATTGTTTCATATCTTATAATTCAAAAAAAATTTTTCACTGATTTTATATTTCCAGACTTTGTTGCATCTTTTAGTTTATGGAGTTAATTTTGCCCCATTATAATTTCAAGCAAAGAGCATGGTGTGTAATTGGAAAAAAAAGGATAATCCAAAACTCAAACTTTGAACAACTTCTGAATGGGAAAAATTAGTTTGAGAGTAACTTTCTCAGATTTTATTTTTTCCACTTTTTTCAAATTAATTTTTATTTTATTTCTCTTTTTCAGATTGATTCTTATGAATTATATTTTTAAAGTTGCATTTTCTAGATCATAGTCTCTTCAAATTAAGCCCAATCTAAACGCTCACCAATGATGATTAAAAAGGTTGAGCCAACGTCCAGCTGACCAATAGAAATGCATCTTTGCTCCTCAGCCCTCCCTCAGGAGTCGTAATATTATGAGAATAAAGTCTCAACATTGCGAGAACAAATTCATAATATAAAGGGGATTAAAGTCATAATATTGCGTGAATAAAGTCGCAATATTATGAGAGTAACTTTGTAATACTAGGAGAATAAAGTCATGATAATAAAGTTGTAACATTACCAGAATAAAGTTGTAATATTACGAGAATAAAGTCGCAATATTATGAGAGTAACTTTGTAATACTAGGAGAATAAAGTCATAATAATAAAGTCGCAACATTACCAGAATAAAGTTGTAATATTACGTCAATAAAGTCGCAACATTGCGAGAACAAATTCATAATATAAAGGGGATTACAGTCATAATATTGCGTGAATAAAGTCGCAATATTATGAGAGTAACTTTGTTATACTTTGAGAATAAAGTCATGATAATAAAGCTGCAACATTAGGAGAATAAAGTCCTGATTTTATCAGAATAAAGTTGTATTTTATGACAACTCTTACCAGAAGCACTGTCTTCGCAAAATGGGGATTGTCGGGCATCTTGTGAAATTAAATTTTGGCATCTGTTTCACTAATAAGGATATATTAAGTCCTTTAGCATCAAATTATTATTATTATCAGTATGTCTAAGAGTAAGTAGACTCAGCTGCTGGTCGGAGCTTAAACCTTTCTTTCAGAAACGGGGTTTGGCATGATGGCTTCATTCTCGTTATTGTTCAGCTTTATTCTGATAATATTATGGCTTTATTCTGATAATGTTGGGTCTCATTGCCAGGGAGTGGTGGCCTTGCCTTCTGTAGAAAGTTGGCCCATTCTTCCTGCTCTCTGAGGGTTACCTGGAAATTAACCTTAAATCTAATTGTTTCCAGGACGTTTGTCGGAGAGCATGAAACTCACAGACAGCGGTCTCTGAGCCTCACTGGGGCTCTAAGCCGCTCAGCTGACTGGACAGAGGAGCTGGAAAGGAGGCTGAGAGGCAGAGAAGTGGATGGAGGAGAATCAGGAGATTATCTGATGGGCTACAGAGGAGGAGGCAGTCAACCTATCTGTGCCACCAGGAGATCCTCATGTGGACAGGTCTCCCTCTGTCCTTTCCAGGATGTCTTCACAGGTGGGTAAAGAACGTGCAACAGAAAAATGTATCAACCTCTTACGTTCATCGGGAGAAAACAATCAGCTTTCTTTGATGATGTTGTATTAATGTCTTATAACTGCTTAATCTTCTAAATGTAAGGCTCTTTACAGGACTGAAAAAGTCTTTGGATGCAACACCAACCAGTTTATAACAATCTTTATGTAAAGATTGTCATCCATCATCTCCCGTTTATCCGTTAGGGTCACGGTGGGGCTGGTACCTACCTCCAGCAGTCCATAGGAGGAAGGCGGGTCCGCCCTAGACGGGTAAAGCGTCTGTCTGAGGGCTTTCTAAGAAAATCCTTTCTAAAACAAATCCTTGAACTAAGCTCACAAAATGACAGACATCCCCATGAAACCACACCCTCCCTGTGATGTGGTCAAAGTTAAACCACATGTTCAGTTCTTACACACCGCAGGGCATTCCTTAGACACCACAGGAAAAAGTTCAAGACAAAGCAACTAGTGCATGGAACTCACAGAAAATGTTATTTTTAATTTAACTTATATGAAATATCTTCTAAACAAACTTGAAATTTAACAGAGAAGCATTTTACTGGCTGAGAATCATTTAACAATAACTCGTCTCTGTGCACCGTCCGGTCAGAGGACTTCATCTACATCACAGGCTATGTTTAACCCTAAACAACAGGGAAAAAACCCTTTGGTGCGCTGAAACCGGCCTTGACAAGGATCAACCGTCATACCATCAAAGGCCTGCTCCATTGCTCTTTCCCCAGAGTAGAGTCGTTGGTCATTGACTACACTACAGCCAATGGCGGCTGGTGGAGTTTTCTCTGGGGGGGCTATGACTTCAAAATAGACGTATACCAAAGACCACCCCAGTGACGTTGCCGCTGTGAGCGAGGCCTCATTACGCCACATTTTGTATCGAGCTTCACAGTAAATTTGAATAATCTCTGCTTTTCAATACTACTGAAGTTTCTAATGCATCAGAATTGCGGCTCGAAGTGTGTTTTTTTCCCCCCATTTACAGTTTTATTCAAATACAGGGGAAAAAAAGGTTATATTTAAGTCTTAGTCTTGGAAATTTTAGATTTAAATCATAGAAAGACAGTCAACTAGTGAACTAGTTAATGCCCCAGTGTATAGATGGTAAACATAGCAAAGTACTGAATATAACAGAACAGCTTCAGTCCAGAATCTACCTGTTCCCTTCTCTGAATGTCTCACTGATGCTGCTGTGGAAGCATATTTTTCCTTGGCAAATTTGTGAGCTAAATATTTTGATAGTGCCTTTTCTCTGCATAAATATGGATGATTCTACCAGTCTCTATGTTGGAGTCCAGTTATGGAGTTAGTATTGGGGATGACAGAAAGCAAATGCTTCCCTAGTATAGACAAGGGTGAAGGGAGGGTGATGAGAGATAAGAATGAGTTCACACAGCCTCCTTCGTGCTGTGAAAGAGAGACTTGTTCTGAATGTTTATGGGGCTAAAATCTATGTCCTTGATGAATTGAAGTATTTTTCTTGGGAATAACCAAATGTTTGTGTGTGAGAAAGTTCTTTATGTAGGGGTAGGACAGTTCCAAGGGAGAGTGTGTGTATTGGGAGTTGCTGTATAAAAGTATGTACTGAGCTTTGCCCAGTCAGAGCTCTATCTCATCGTCTAAAGATACTCAATTCAAGCTGGACCTTCTGTCATTGTTAGCCCATGAACATACACTCACCGGTCACTTTATTAGGTACACCTGTCCAACTGCTCGTTAACACTTAATTTCTAAGCAGCCAATGGCGGCAACTCAGTGCATTTAGGCATG